GTCATAGCGCAGGGATTTAGCTTCTGCTTATCCATGTTTCAGGTGATATGTGGCAATCCACTCGTGCCAGTGGCAGACTTACCCTAATATGATGGGAACAAGAGGATTGATATAGCCAAATGGTCAAATCGATATCTTATCCATCTTTTCCGTTTGCTGGTCTGGTGAGTGCCCTTTAATTGGATAGTTTCATTCATATGTATGTATGTATGTATGTCCAATCTGAGTTATGAGCATTTGGTGTATATCATTATATTTACCTTCAGCTCTGAACCTGTCATATATCTCAAGGCATTGTCCGGATGGCAAACCTCAGGGGTATTGGAGACAAATAGAAGACTTGAAGGAAAGCAGGCAGGGAATCTTCAATAGTAAACATGGTATATTTACTTGACCCTCAGCATGGCAATGACGAGCATGACATGTCAGATAGATATATCGTTACAGCTAGAGAAAAATGTTCAATCTGGGAAATGGTAACTATAGTTTTATTTGCTCTTTTAATTTTAACCATGATTTTATTTAGTTTGTTTTCCCAACCACCATCACCAACTACCCCATAAATTACAAAAAGAAAATAATAAGAAATTCAACGAACAGGAATTCATATCCACCGAATGATATTGCCATACTTAGGGCAGGGGGGACATGATTTAGAAAAAAGACTACTGGAATAATGCATAAACTATATTTGAAGTTTATACAGGACAAGTGGAGACACTTTCTAGCTTGAATGTGAGGGTTTTCTTTTCCTCCTTCCGAATTTTTCGTTCTATTTGTGCAATTTCTATGTATTTGATCTGATGTACTTATGAATTCATATTAATTTCTTCAGGTACGTGTTGTTGGTGGCAAGATAACTGGGTGGATTTGGAAGCTTCAAGATGCCCCTGCATTTAAGGAACATATGATTTTGATGATTGGTGGCTAGCAAACTTACAATTTGGAGGTGACGACTCAGGCTCTGGTAGATAGAGTTTTTAAGTATTAAATTTATCAATTTAACTTGGCAAATGGCCTTTTGGTTCCACTTCATTAACTTATCATATTCGTTATCAGATGGTTCCCCGTCTGAGGCCCTTTCTGAATAAGGCCGGAAGAATTCTGGAAGAAGACAAAAAGAACCAATAGAAATAAAAAGAAAAACCGAGGGTAATCTTGAATATTGTTTTTAACGTTTTTATCCTTAAGTAATTAAAATATCGATTGTTATTCATATAACTTTAATTATAAAACTTCTTACACATTAATAAAATATTATATTTTTTAATCATTTTAAAATTCTTATCCTGTGGAAATGTGGTGTTGAATTTAATTAATAGGGGAGGAAAATAATCTAAAAGATATTTTATTATGAAATATTAATATATTAATATTTTATTATGACCATTATTTACACCCATGTTTTAAACTTGCAAATCTTCTATCTTTTCTATCTAAAAAGCTTTCTGCATTATTCCAAAACCTAATTTGAAGATTTTAAGTCTTATTTCCGGTAAAACTTATCTCATATAATTTGGATGAGTAAAACGCGAAAAGAAATCACTTAGATAAAATAAAGATATGCTTCGTTTATAATTTTTTTAGTTTTCAAATCTTCAATTTTTTTTAAAACATTTTGCAATTAATATAAAAAATTCAATGAAATTGTGTTATTTCATCTAAATTTTTTAAAAAATAAATGTATTAACTTTCAAGAATCACAGCTTCTTGATTTCAAAANTTATAAATAGGTTAGAAGCAATCCACCATCAAAACAAAACCCCAATTAGAAAATCCTAACTCCTAAATTGCATTAACAATATGAAGAGGAGAAACAAGACACAAGAAATTTACAAATCAGAACCCTTAACCCCAAACGAAAACCCTAAAATCTCCAAATCACAAGATCACGAAGAACCTCAATCATTGCACTACCATACTATAGAGAAAATAAAACAAAAACTCAATCCAAGAAAGGAAACCCAACGTCGCGAAATAAAAATCACAAAAATAAAACCCAAATTTAGAACCCTAATACAAATAGAACTAGAACAAGAAGAAGGAAAGAAGAAATGTTTCCTATGATGTTAACCCAAAAACAGAGGAGAGGAAGGAGGAGGGTGTCTCCTTGCGCGACAAGGAACCCACGCTGCTGGTTTGTTAGAGAAAAAGGGAAGTCCCGAAAATGGAAGCCAGGAGTTTTTAAAACTCTTATTAAGGTAAAGGGTAATTGACTTGAGCTAGCCATGCAATCAATAACTGGGCAACTCATTAAAAACGCCATAAGCAAAAAGGACCAACTAGGAACAAGTATAAATTTCTAGAAAATAGGATGATCACTTTAAACATACCTAACGAAACTAGAGACCAAAATTAATATTAAACTAAAATACTTAACTGTATTTTTCTTTTCCTAACCATATAAGTCTATTTTTTTTCTAATACGTTTTGAGCTTATATCAAAATTAAGATTCAGATTCTTAATTTTTTTATGTTTTATTGTCATTTTTCTTATTTGATTCTACTAATTAGTATTAGAATTTGCGAGATTGTTTAGCAAATTTGTTAAAGATTACATATTTATTTATTTTTATATAATTTAATAAAAAAGTTATATATTTATATAACATAAATATATTTTCATTTATTTATTTTCCTATTATAAAAATCCTAATTAATATTGTATGATAAAATTTTTAAGATAAGTTAAAACCTATCTATCATTACATAATCTCTTAAGTATTTGAACAATAAGACTTTCCCCAGTGTAAATTGCAATCCTCCCTATCATAGTTGGACTGAGTTCACAATTCTACATACAACTTTTGCTCGCCAAATTTAATTCCTTTCTCATACGGGGTTTAGGAGATTAGAATAGGGTAAAATTTATCTTCACCATTTGTTTTAAAAAGAGTTAAAGAAATAGACATAGTGGGCAAGAATGCCAAACCCCTAAAATAGATAATAAAAAAAGAAAAAAGAAAAAAGTTGGAAGCAGACAACCCTAATATTGGGCCGGGTTTTGGTTTATCGTGAATCAGACGGCCCGTTTTTGAACCCCCCCTTCGTCTTGCACTCACGGTGTTGCCTCGCTTCAGAGGCCAGCCGAATTTGCTGCGTCTTCTTCCTTGACCACGGAACAGTTCAATAACAATTCCAAACCTGAGGGAACCAACCCATCAACGTAACCCTTCTCTCTCTTTCAATCGTGCCACTTTCACACCCACCAAAACAATGGCTTCCACACCTCAAATGCGCTAAAATCCATTTCCATTTCCTTCCCTCAAATCCATGCACTCAGCAATGGACTTCACCAGGTTCTCCTCTCCTAAATCTCCCCCAATATTCACGCGCCCCCTCACCTGGGTTACCTCCACCGCCCTCCGCCACCAACCCCGCCACCTTCCTCCTCCACCAACCCCCCCGCCACCACCTCACCCCACTCCTCCGCCACCTCACCCCACTCCTCCGCAAACCTCTAACCACGCCCCTCTCACCCTTCTACCTTCTATTCTAACCAACAGGGTTCTAGATTCTTCCAAATGTAAATCCATTTTGCCCAATTTGTCCCCCCACGAATTCGATCGCTTATTCTTCCCCATTCACCACTCCGTTAACCCCAAAACGACACTCGACTTCTTCCGTTTTGCCGCTAGCCATTTTAAGTTCCACTTCACCTTTCGCTCCTATTGCCTCCTCCTTCGCTCGCTTCTCGCTTCCGGTTTTTTGCCGCGCGCCAGGTTTTTGCTCACTCGTTTGATCGACGGCCACGTTCCGACGTCGTTTCACGACCACGAAAACAGGCTCCGCGAAATAGCTTCCTCGATGCTGGAGGTGAATCAGGTTTCGGGTAAACGACACGGCGAATTGGATTTGTTGCTCCACATTCTCTGCTCTCAGTACAAGAGTTTCGGCTTCCGTTGCGCTTTTGATATTTTTATCATGTTCTCGAAGAAGAGCATTTTCCCGTGTTTGAAAACTTGCAATTTTTTGTTGAGCTCATTGGTGAAGGCCAATGAACTTCACAAGAGTTATGAGGTTTTTGATGTCACTTGTCAGGGCGTTGTGCCTGATGTTTTCACGTTCACCACAGCAATTAACGCGTTTTGCAAGGGAGGGAGGGTTGGGGACGCTGTGGATTTGTTCCGCAAGATGGAGGAGCTTGGTGTTTCGCCGAATGTGGTTACTTACAACAATGTGATTGATGGGTTGTCCAAAAGCGGGAGGTTAGACGAGGCGTTTCGGTTTAAGGATAGGATGGTTAGGAGCAAGGTGAATCCGAGTGTGGTGACCTATGGTGCGCTCATCAATGGTTTGATGAAGTTTGAGAAGTTTGAGGAGGCGAGTGAAATGTTGGTGGAAATGTATAGCATGGGTTTTACTCCCAATGAGTTTGTGTTTAACTCACTGATTGATGGGTACTGCAGGAAGGGGAATATGATTGAGGCATTGAGGATTAGGGATGAGATGGTATTGAAGGGCATGAAGCCTAATTCTGTTACTTTTAATACTCTTTTACAGGGTTTTTGCCGGAGCAATCAAATGGAGCAGGCTGAGCAGGTATTGGGGTACCTATTGTCTAGTGGTTTGTCTGTTAACATGGATGCGTGTTCGTATGTGATTCATCAATTATTGGAAAAATCTAGGTTGGATTCAGCATTAAAAATTGTTAGAGAATTGTTGTTGAGGAACATCAAGGCTAGTGATAGCTTGCTAACCCTCTTGGTCTGCGGACTTTGTAAATGTGAAAAACATTTGGAGGCGATTGAGCTTTGGTTTATGCTGGCAAGTAAAGGGCTTGCTGCCAATACGGTGACCTCAAATGCGCTTCTCCATGGACTTTGTGAACGAGAGGGCATGGAGAAAGTTTTCGAAATACTCAAACAAATGATTGAGAAAGGTTTCGTCCTGGATAGGATCTCATACAACTCACTTATTTTTGGTTGTTGTAAATGGGGTAAAATTGATCTAGCTTTCCAACTCAAGGAAAAGATGGTTCAGCAAGAATTCCAACCAGATACATATACCTACAATTTCCTAATGAAAGGGTTGGCTGATATGGGTAAGATAGATGACGTTCATAGGCTTTTGCATGAAGCCAAAGAATATGGCCTAGTTCCCAATGTATATACACATGCACTTTTATTGGAAGGATATTGTAAGGCTGATCGGATTGAAGATGCTGTGAAATTGTTTAAGAAGTTAGTTTATGAGAAAGTAGAGCTAAGTTCTGTTGTATATAACATACTTATTGCAGCCTACTGTAGAGTTGGGAAGCTGAAGGAAGCTTTTGAACTGTGTGATGCTATGAAAAGTGGGGGCATGCCTCCTACCTGTGCCACATATTCTTCTCTAATACATGGAATGTGCTGTATTGGCTGTATGGATGAAGCAAAGGAAACTTTTGAAGAAATGAGAAATGAAGGCTTGCTTCCAAATATATTTTGTTATACTGCTCTAATTGGTGGTTACTGTAAGTTAGGTCAGATGGACAAAGTGGGGAATATATTAATGGAAATGTCTTCAAACGGTATACAACCTAATAAAATTACTTACACTATTATGATTGATGGATATTGTAAATTAGGAAATGTGAAAGAGGCGACAAAACTTTTAAATCAGATGATAAGAAATGGAATAGCTCCAGATACCATCACTTACAATGCACTGCAAAAGGGATATTGCAAGGAAAGGGAGCTAGAAGTTACTTTACAGAGTGATCATATATCTAACACGGGACTACATTTGGAAGAAGAAATTACTTATGACACATTGGTTCACAGGTTGCATCCACATACAGTAGTTATCAATAAAAAATGATGAGGAAACTTCTCAAACTTTTTTGATGCTTAGTTGATGCTAGGGCGTATATGGTTAAGCCTGTCATTGTTTAGTTTGATTCTAAAACGCTAGCTATTTGTAAGATGAAGTTTCATATGCTTGATATCTAGATGCGTGAAGGACTAGCAACAACTAAAGCAGCATGCAAGAACTTGGCTTCGTAGTTAAAAAAGGAGTCATGCATTTTAGAGGTTAGTCATTTAAGATAATTTTTTTTTTCTTTAAATTTTTTCTTTAAATTTTATTTTTTAATTTTATTTTTCCTTTTTTTATTTGATCTAATTTGATTTTTTAAACAATTATTTGATAATAGTATTATTAGAAGATGGATGTTTTAAGCATGTGCTCCATAGGCAAGTATTTCCATTTGGAGTTATTGATGCCGAATGAATATGATTTATTCTGAGATACTTTTTGGATAATATCTTATTTTTGTCAAATTATTGATTTTAGTGAAATAGTGTTAGATTAGGGTTTGAGGATTTTGACCATCCTGGGGTTATAAATACTTCTTTAGGTTCCCTTTGATAGGCGTGATTTCACTGTTGGTTGATTAGAGCAATTAATGTGTGCTTTTCTGTTAAATCCAAGCATTCTTGGTTCCACATTAGTGGTTTTAATTATGTCCACCATCACGTTCTCTAGATGTTAGAACCATTTCTACATTGTCCATCTTGTATATTTTTCTTAGTGTTAAAGATCGATTGGTGCATTGAAATATAACAGTAATATTACTATTTTGCCAGAGCAATTTTTATTATTTACATGATTGTGTTTGGTTCTCTGTGATACCTGATGGAATGATTTCAACTTTGGACTCCTGTTTTATGGTATGTTTATTTTCACATTTTTCTTCCAATTTCAAAAACTAGTTCAGAAAAGGTTGAAAATAATGTCTTACAATGTAAATTGATTACTTTTGTTCGAACAATTTGTTTGGAATTTATGGCTTGCGATTGGCGTGTCCCACTTGGAGCAGATTCTCGTGATTATGAGGATACAAAGGCAGAAGGTAAACATTTAAAAGTGTGACCTCGCTATTCGATCAGCTATAAGATACATTGTGTTTATGGGTTCCGCAGTATTCTGTTCATAGCCGGTTCCAAGCGGGTTATAATTTTATGAGCTTTATTGCATTTTTGCTATCTTCTGGCTCTCTAGACTACAGGTATTGTGATTTTTCAGTTTTGGAGGATAAGATATCCTTCTTCGGGTGTCCTTTCTCCCTTTATTCTTTAATAACATTTCTTTCATCCAAAAAAATGTTTAACACAATACTACATAGTGATATTGCATAACATTTACTTAATTTTACATACTAAGGCATTTTTAATATGTGACTTTTATTTGATGGTGATTGAGCAAAAGTCATAGCGCAGGGATTTAGCTTCTGCTTATCCATGTTTCAGGTGATATGTGGCAATCCACTCGTGCCAGTGGCAGACTTACCCTAATATGATGGGAACAAGAGGATTGATATAGCCAAATGGTCAAATCGATATCTTATCCATCTTTTCCGTTTGCTGGTCTGGTGAGTGCCCTTTAATTGGATAGTTTCATTCATATGTATGTATGTATGTATGTCCAATCTGAGTTATGAGCATTTGGTGTATATCATTATATTTACCTTCAGCTCTGAACCTGTCATATATCTCAAGGCATTGTCCGGATGGCAAACCTCAGGGGTATTGGAGACAAATAGAAGACTTGAAGGAAAGCCGGCAGGGAATCTTCAATAGTAAACATGGTATATTTACTTGACCCTCAGCATGGCAATGACGAGCATGACATGTCAGATAGATATATCGTTACAGCTAGAGAAAAATGTTCAATCTGGGAAATGGTAACTATAGTTTTATTTGCTCTTTTAATTTTAACCATGATTTTATTTAGTTTGTTTTCCCAACCACCATCACCAACTACCCCATAAATTACAAAAAGAAAATAATAAGAAATTCAACGAACAGGAATTCATATCCACCGAATGATATTGCCATACTTAGGGCAGGGGGGACATGATTTAGAAAAAAGACTACTGGAATAATGCATAAACTATATTTGAAGTTTATACAGGACAAGTGGAGACACTTTCTAGCTTGAATGTGAGGGTTTTCTTTTCCTCCTTCCGAATTTTTCGTTCTATTTGTGCAATTTCTATGTATTTGATCTGATGTACTTATGAATTCATATTGAATTTCTTCAGGTACGTGTTGTTGGTGGCAAGATAACTGGGTGGATTTGGAAGCTTCAAGATGCCCCTGCATTTAAGGAACATATGATTTTGATGATTGGTGGCTAGCAAACTTACAATTTGGAGGTGACGACTCAGGCTCTGGTAGATAGAGTTTTTAAGTATTAAATTTATCAATTTAACTTGGCAAATGGCCTTTTGGTTCCACTTCATTAACTTATCATATTCGTTATCAGATGGTTCCCCGTCTGAGGCCCTTTCTGAATAAGGCCGGAAGAATTCTGGAAGAAGACAAAAAGAACCAATAGAAATAAAAAGAAAAACCGAGGGTAATCTTGAATATTGTTTTTAACGTTTTTATCCTTAAGTAATTAAAATATCGATTGTTATTCATATAACTTTAATTGTAAAACTTCTTACACATTTATAAAATATTATATTTTTTAATTATTTTAAAATTCTATACTGTGGGAATGTGGTGTTGAATTTAATTAATAGGGGAGGAAAATAATCTAAAAGATATTTTATTTGAAAATATAATATTAATATTTTATTATGACCATTATTTACACCCTTGTTTTAAACTTGCAAATCTTCTATCTTTTCTATCTAAAAAGCTTTCTGCATTATTCCAAAACCTAATTTGAAGATTTTAAGTCTTATTTCCGGTAAAACTTATCTCATATAATTTGGATGAGTAAAACGCGAAAAGAAATCACTTAGATAAAATAAAGATATGCTTCGTTTATAATTTTTTTAGTTTTCAAATCTTCAATTTTTTTAAAACATTTTGCAATTAATATAAAAAATTCAATGAAATTGTGTTATTTCATCTAAATTTTTTAAAAAATAAATGTATTAACTTTCAAGAATCACAGCTTCTTGATTTCAAAACTTCTTGGGTGAATTCTAAAATCTAACTTCAGTAGTTTTAACTCCTCTTTTCAACGAAACCTGTTGGGAATTGTTTCTTACACCCCCATCTTTTTCTTTCTGCACCCAACATTTCCGGATTATTTTCCTAATTCTTTTTTACAGTAATCACCCTCCTTATTGAGAAAAAAAAATTCGGTAGCTTTTTTTTTGATGGGAGGATGAAGAAATGTGGTTAGGGGCAGGAAGCAACACCCAAAAACTTGGCTAATTTTTCGTAGGTTAATTTTTTTTTAATTCACATATCTACATTTTTAATTAATTACTGGAAGGGTTAAGTTACATCGTGATAACATTAGGAAATCGTAAAATGCATGCATGCTTTTTTAGTAATATTGAAGTTATATTTAGATTTGACGATTTTAACGAAATTAAACTTAGTTAATGATCATTATTAAGTAAAGTCATATATATGATTGACGAATTTAACCTTAAATAAAATTGTATATATATTTAATGATTTCACCTTAAGTAAAATTTTATATATAATTGATAACTTCAATTTTAAATAAAGTCGTACATATAATTAGTAACTTTAATTTGAGTTCAATTTTACTTCAATAGTAAATATTGTTGACAATTTCTGATAATCGTAATATTAAAATTGTATAATGATTTGACAAACTTCTTTTCTTATCTCAAATAAAATAATGTAAAACCCTGTATAATTAGCAATAGTAATTCTGTGTTAAACCAGATTTATGCTCATTATAATCCATGCTTATCCTATTAAATCCATGTCAAATCTGCTTTTAAAATCCCTCTGCTGTGCAATAACACCGTGCCACAACATCTCTGAGACGCGCACCACTGCACACATTCAGTGCATAAAAACGCACCAATCTGTGCATGCACGCAACGCCACGTGTCGCAGGAGAAGCTTCCAAGCAGGTGTTTGGGGTGCAGGTGGCAGGCTGGGAGACGCTAGCCTGTTTTGACGTGGAATCCACCCACAATACTGAGTTTGAGAAAACTCTCTCACTTGCACCACACTTCGTCTTCCTCAGAAAACCAAACCTTTCATCTTCTCCAACTTCTCACTAAGAACCTTTTATCTTCTCTCTACCATTACTCACTTCTTTCAACTCCAAACAATTTCTGAAACCATAGAAACGTTCACGGGCCAGTAAGCTTCGTTTTGATCCGAACATCTTTTGATCCTGTAATTGGTAAGTTCCCAAGCCAATAACCTATTCTAGAATTTAGGAAAAATGTTTTAGTTGCATGCAAGAATAAAATCGTGTTCTGAGTTCTCTTTGGTTAAACCTAGTTGAAGAGCGTAAGAAAGAGCTTAACGGGTAGAAAGCCCTAGTTGGACTGATTCAAGTATACTGTTAAACGTTCACTGCAAATCCGGGTAGGTAAGGAAGCTTATATGTTTAATTTATACTGTTTGATTTATGATCTGAGATTCATATAAGAAAAACATGATGTTTGAGTATTTAGAACGTTTACTGATATCTGATATGTATTCTGGTTTGGATGGATCTGTCATGAACTGATACGGTTATATAAATTTGATTTGATGATGAATGATTTAAATGCATGATTGAGTTGTTATGGATAAATGGAGAAGGTTATTGTGTGGTTGGAATGATTTAAATGTTGAAATTTGCATGATGATGGTGTTGAAGGGAATAAATTGGAAATGGAAAATATAAAGGTTGAAAAATGGAAAGTGGAAAAATTCTACTAGTGTGAAACTACTGAATTTGATCATGTGCTAGAATGACTTCGATTCGGGTTCGTTAGACGTTCGGTTTTTGGTTAACATGATTAGATGGAATTATTATTTGGAATGAATTGTCGAGAAACGAGCGTCCCCCAATTGAGTGAATGAGCGTTCGTTTGCTCAGTATAGATAATATTTAAAACTTTATAATAAGTGAGTCGCTTCGGCCTTAAGTCGGACGTACGTTCTCATTGACGTTCGGCCTCATGTTGAGCGTTCGTCCTTATTGCGTTCGTCCTTATTGTCGTTCGACCTATATTGAACGTTCGTTCTAAAGAGTGTTGGGTTTATACTGAAGTGGTGTCTAAGTTGAGCTCGGTTTATACCAAGCGTTCGTTCTGATTGTGCTCGGTCATTGACCCATCGTTCGTTCAAGGAGGGTGGTTTTTTTTATAACTGAACGCTCGTCTACCATTGAATTTCTGACGAACGTAATTGGCGTTCGTCCAAATTGTTAATGAACGTTCGTTCTTTGACGGCCGTGTGTTTTTTTTTGAAATCAATTATATTGATTGTTTATCTAAACATTTTCTTACGGGTTTTATCCTTTGGATTCTACCTGGATTCTTTACCTTCAAAATATTTCTAAGTATCATCCATATCTTTTAAAGATCAGTATTTTCAAATTATGAAGTGTTGAAACGTGTTAAGTGAATAAATGGTTCGTTTCTTTTGTTCAGAAACGAGGATGTAGGAGTACTGTAACATGTTAAGTCCTGTTGATTAAGTGATGAACGTTCGTGGAATTAAGAGAGTGGAACACGGAATGAAAATGTGAATCAGTGAACTGTTTAATATGGTGAATGATATGTTGAACGAATTATTGGAACTGGATTTTATTAGCGTTCCAAGGAGGAACGTTTTTGATATGATTGATTATTGAGTTTTGTAAAGTATGACTGTGGGCATGCTAATGCTGGCTTGGTCCATCCTGATATTCCGTGATACTCATCTTCACGTAGAAGGGAGTAGTCATGCGTGGGAATGGCAGGAGACTCTATTCCTTAGAGGTACTTTGGATAGGGTTAACCTCGAGTGGCAGCTGTCGAGTGTAATACAGTTACCACACCACTCGGGTGCAAGGACGCCTGTAGCTACACGGTTCATACAGTCCGGACGGTCTGTCGTTTATACGTATCTATATGATTGTTAATTGATGAGCTTACATGTTGAATGTGTGGATTGATATGTAACTGTATGTGTTGATTTTATAAATTAAATATTATAAGCTTACCCTTGCATTTCCTTTGTGTTGTCTAATGTCCATGTATAATCCGTCTTGTCGAAATGCAATGATCATCCGTTGTGGATGTGAGCAGATGGTGGTGCATCCCTTGAGCAAGTACTGGAAGAAGAAAATTTGGAGGATGCCAACCTTGTGGACGTTGAAGTAAAATTGGAGCAGTAGGGATTAGTTCCGTAGTAGCAGCAGTAGTTAATTTTGGGTGTGCTGTATTCTGGCAGCCTGTATATAATTCTGCAGATTTGTTCCTGTAGATCTGTTTTGTATATTTTGCTAAAATTCTGAACACTGTAAACTCTACTGTAAGTTACTGTACAGTACTGTTTATTTATATAAGTGCTGTTTTCTTTTGGAGCAGCTGTTAATTACGCAAAGACTGTTTACTGTTACTGTTAATTGTGATAAATTCTGAATTATAGTGATTACTGTATTTTGGGATGTTACAATAAATAATTTAAAATATAAAAAATTTAAAAATTTAAAAATTTAAAGTCGTAATTAAGACATACAACTTCAAATTTTTCAATTTTTTATTATGAATTTATTTATTTTATTTTATATAAACAAATTTATATTGTAATAATTTTTCTTATATATAAAAATACTACATTTTTTAAAAATATTCCTATGTATATAATAAATAAATAATATGTATAAAATTTAATAACCAAATTATTTCAAAAAAATTGAAATAGGAAATATTTACATAAAAGGTTTAGAGAGAAAACCTTAAAAAAGTAAAAAGAAAATAAAATTTTATTTATTAATCAAACTATAAAAAATATCTCAAACATAAAAAATAAAAATTATATAAAACTTTAACATATTTAAATTCTGTCTAATCAAATTATTAAAAAAAATAAATATTAAAGTTTACTAAAATTTTAAATTAATAAAACAAATATCTCAAAATTTAAATATATAATTATATAAAACTTTAAAAAAAATACATAAAAGAATTTAAAAACCAATTAATCAAATTTAAAATTTAATGAAATTTAAAATAGTGAAATTTTCATTTTAATCTACAATTTATTTTCTATTTTTATCCTTTAAATAATTATTTTTTAAATAAAAATAATTGTTTTATCAGTTTTATCAATACTTTTATGATTATTTTGATAACTTGAATGTATAAAGATATCAAAATAAAATTTACTAATAATACTGATTGATAACGTTTATCTGCAAGTCAAATATTATAATATTTATATATAGTTTTCATCAACAAATAAATAATTTAGTACTTCTACTCATTATATACCAATATTTATTAAAAATATCTGTTTAATATATGTCACAAATTTTACTCATAAATTGAAATTTTTGTCATCCCCAATATCTTTCTTTCTATTGTATTGCGCATCTTCTTTTTCTTTTAACCTTTATTTTCCAATTTAAAAAAAAAACCCTGTTTCTTTCTGAGCATTAGATGTAGAAATCTAGTATTTAAAACGTAAAAAATCACAAACCCATAAGAATTTTACGATTTAGACATTTATGCAGTAATATGAAGATTTGCGAAGTACTCTACATTGTAAAAGGTAATAATTGCATATTTTAGACAGTTAATTATTATTTTAATAGTTACGTTTTTTTATAATAAAATACATAAATAAATGAAAAATATACCATATCGACGAAGTTATTTTATAATCTTTCGAATCATTTCTATTATTTTGCTCTTAATCCAAATAATTTTAATTTCTACTCTTTTTTTCTTTAATTTTTTTCTCTTTGTTCCAACTACTCAACCTTCTCTTTAATCTAAGTAAGAACCAAAAAGGAAACTTATGCGGATTCTGAATACAGTTACATATTTAGTTAAATATTGTAAAACACAAATTCATAGGTTTTTTCTTTATAGAAAGTGGAAGAAAGACTTTTGGTAGCATGTGGGTCTGTTTCCGAACAGGACCATACGGAACCGAATTTGATTTGCTTTATTGGATGACAGCTTTGAAGTGAGAGATTCTGCATGCATGCCTTTGTCCTGTAACATGTTATTTGTTAATTGGATTCAGATTAAAATCACAATTTATTCAACAGAATTTTTTTTAATGAATAAATATGGAAAATTTATGATGGTAATAATGATAATTTATAAATTAATTATATTAATTTTAACATAAAAAAAGTTAGACTAATTGAACAAAATAAATAATAAAAAAGTAATTAAGCGAAAAATTATGGACAGACATCAGCGTCAAACATGTCAAACATGTCAAACATGTCAAACATGCATGCATGTCAAAGCGCGAACAGTATGAGATTGTATTTTGGTGGGTCCGAAATAAAAAATAATCACCGACATGTGCGCGTTCCAGGTGTAGCCCCAACCAACGTTCCTCAAACCATAGATTCACCGTTTTCTTAATCAGAACAATGGTCATAAATGTTGACGTTCTGTCATACCTAAATAATAATTATGCATTTAATAATTCTTATCTTCACTTTCTTTTTCTTTTCTTTCTTTTTCATCAATGTTTTTCTTAGAAGGATAAATCCAATTTATACATTTATTTTATATTTCAAAAGATAAACCTAATTAATATAGGGCTTTATCAATGTAGACTTAACAATCAAATATCAATTTAGATTAATTGCAAAATATATACATAAACTAAGGATAAGGATTTATGTATATATTTTCTTAAAGCTTAAAAAAATTAACTCCCTCTTATTAGGTGTCTTAAATCTTCCCATTTAGTTAGGAAGTCCATGGTCGGAACTGATTTCGATAAATTAAATATATGTGTAGTCAAATTTAGATTATTGCAACCTTAGCTATTAGTTTTGTTTGAAAATTGTTATTTTAAAGCATATTTTACATGTTCTAAAAGAGTCAAATTTCGTGAAAAATAGTATCAAGGGTTATTGTTATTGGATTGAAATTGAAAAAAATACATTTGTGTGTAAAAGTTGCAAAATTTGAAAAAGTGAGAGTGTATAGAAATGCTAAAATATTTACACTTTTTAAAATATTTAATAATTTTCTATAAAGTTATATTCTATTAAAAAAAGTCACGTAAAATGTATATATTCCAGCAGACATTATTAGTATAGTTTTTTTTAAGTAAAAAATATTGGTGTTGTTATTCTTAAAAGAAAAAACTAATCAAACACCATTTGTTCAAAATTCATAATTAATTACTATAATACATATTTAAAATCATTTGACACTGGACCTACTCTCTTCCTTATTCTTACCTCAACATAGTATGAGAAAGGTTATCATAATTTAGTAATTTACGTTCGAAAAAAAGCCTTCGTTAAGTTAAATTTGTTAAATAAAAACATAATTCTTTTACTCATTATCACTTCACTGCCTTTTTTATGTCTTTATCTATTTTCAGTCTATTCTTTCCCTCTCAAGATACATTTCATAGGTGCTACGCGTTAACATAACCATTCAATTTAAAGCAAAATGTTTTTCCTAGGAAAATAAAAAGAAAACAAAATAATCTTTATATAAGATTGTGTTCTTGCAAGTTTCAAGTGCATCAACACCACACCTATCTTCCTCTGAAGTCTTGTTGTTAGCTGAAGCATTTTACAGGCCACCATTTTCTTCGACTACCTTTCACTTACTATTTAAGGTATTGCTCACTGTTTTTTTCCTTCTTTGTTTTTCATGCTATTTTTTTCACCATTTCTCATCGGTAGTTTGTGGGGTGGGAAGTTTCTATTATGGGCATTTCGAATGCTGGAAAAGTTGTTACCTTTATCCATGATGGAGAGTTGCTGATCCAGGAAGTGTTGGGATGTGAACCATTATCTGTTTCTGGTGTGATATTCAAATAGGGAAATACTGGTTTGTGGATTTTCCGCTATAGGTACTAATGGGGGTATTGGAGTGGGTAATATCTGATATTTCGTTTTTCTAGGCTGCTTTGTTGAATTGATTAAGCTTTCTGACGCCTAACAGATGAAGTTCTTTGGTGATTCTTGGATTGTTCAATGGATTTAAAATGTTTCATCTTCTTTTTGCAACAACGGTGCTAATAATAATATATTGTAATTTATTTGAAGATCAGATTCTTCTGACTTAACTATGCATGTTTTTTCCTATGTTCTCTGCATGTTTCTTCGTGTCTTTTAATCTGCATTTCTGTCGGTGCAAGAATTTAAGCCTGAAAACTCTATCAAAACAACATCAAAAGGTGTCTTTTGGCCAGTTCTCATGCTCAACTCAAGAATTTCCTCTGGCTTTTTTCATTTCATGTATGTAAAATCAAACTTATTGGTTGATTATTTTCGGGAAATTAGAGGAGTTGATCATTTGTTGGTGACCTGAATGCACAAGTGATGCGATGAGAGGATAGAAAAATGATAAAAAGTTGTCCTTGGTTTTGTGTGAGAGTTTAATATGATGACGCTTGTTTTACTTTTGTGCGACATATTGTTTCTTTATGTTATGTTAAATAATTAACACACCCTATTGATACTTCCAAGGTGCAATTTCTCTTTTTTATTCATAAGTTTATTGTTTTCTATTTGTTTGATTGGTACAGAATGGAGACGAGTAAAAAGGGCCAATGGTTAAGTGTTCTGATATGTGTGGTACTATTACTAAAGGCAGAAGGGGTTCCTGTGGGAATCACTTTTGTTGAAAATGCAGTGGCAAAAGGAGCTGGTGAGAAATTTCTGCTATGATCTTCATCTCCTTGGCCACCATTTTTTTAGGATTGTTCATAGCAGGTTTGAAATTGATGTTTGAAATCTTGTGCAGTTTGTTTGGATGGGAGTCCACCAGCTTACCACTTCCATAAGGGATCTGGAGCAGGGATTAACAACTGGATTGTTCACTTTGAGGTATGTTTCCTTCAGCAAGATGGCTTCAATATTATGAGAGTCTTTTACCAACTCGGAAAAAAATTCATTTTAATTTAAACTTTGAGTATGTTCCATTATGTTTTCTAAGTACGTGTACAAATATTGATTTGTTAAACTGAAAACTGGCTCAGAAGGTGCATTTGTAATTTTTTATACGGGTTGTGTTTTTGCCAAGGTTTATCAAGTTATTCCCACATAAATGGGCATGGGAGAATATGACATTTTTGTTATTGGTATTAGTTTATCTTAAAAAAATTCCCATGTTTTGCTTTGATTTTAATTCAATGTTGAGGGGATGGGTACTTTTGTGTGTCAACAATTAACTTCCATTGTTACTCCCACTTTTTATTTATATCACTATCATTTTGAAAACCACACCCAATAGCCAATATGAAAGTTATTTTTGGTCAAAATGTTCCAAGAAATGTAATAATATATACCTTGAAACTTAGAGTCATATATTTCAATTCTTAAGTCTCAAATTTGGTTATTGAAATTATAGGGAATAAAGAATTTAGGTTGAGGAGGAGTGAAAGACAGATTGACTTTAGATAATAACCATAGAATTTAGTTCGTGTGCACTTCTTAGTTTTCACACTCTTACCCAATCATTAAAGACCGTGTTTTGTTAAATATGTTGATTTTTGTAATAACTAGCTTAAAAGTCATTTCAAAATTATTTGATTGTTGACCTTGTAACGTTGTATAGAAATACCAACACTGGTTAACTAGGTTGTCCTTTTTGGTAAAACCTATTCTAGTATGAAATGTGGAAAGTTCTCTATTTTTGTTGATGATCTTTAATTCAATTTCTTTTAGGGAGGAGGATGGTGCAACAACGTTACTTCTTGCCTTTCTCGTAGGGACACTCGATTAGGCTCGTCTAAAAAAATGGATACCCAACTTTCCTTTTCTGGATTTTTTAGTAACAGTAAAAAGTTCAATCCAGGTAACGTCTACAAATTAATAAACAGTGTTTTGACTGTTTTTCTCATGAATCTATCCCTAAAATTGTTATATGTTTCCAGATTTCTACGATTGGAACAGAATCAAGGTTAGGTATTGTGATGGGTCATCATTTACTGGTGATGTTGAAGCTGTTGATCGAGTAAGTTTTACAAGTTCAAAGGAATATTGTACTGTAAATTTTTATGAAAATATTAATTAATTTTATTTCTGCTGAGGTTTTATAATATTATTTTGCAAATCAGGCAACCAATTTGCACTTAAGAGGAGCAAGGGTTTTTGCTGCTGTTGTTGATGATTTACTAGCAAAAGGAATGAAAAATGCTCAAAATGTATGGTACATTGATGGTTACCTACATTTGTCTTCATCTTGAATAATTTTTAATTCACTAGTTGAAATTTGTAACTTTAGGCAATTATCTCTGGATGTTCTGCTGGAGGGTTGGCTGCAATTTTAAACTGTGATCGATTCAAATCACTACTACCAGGAACGACTAAAGTGAAATGCCTTGCAGATGCTGGTTATTTTATCAATGTGTAAGCTTATTTATTTACTTTCTGCTTATCTTTTTCACCTGAATTCTTTTGGACTTTGTTAAGTCATGTAATGATTCAATATGTTTTTGTTTGTGCAACAGAAAGGATGTCTCTGGCGCACAGCGCATTGAAGAGTTCTACAATCAAGTTGTCCAAACACATGTACTTGTTCTTTCTCTCATTATTTCTCCCTGTACCATCTCACAAGCATATGATATTAATGTTTTCACTCTTTCTGTTTACAAGAAACTTTCTGAAGCTTTCTCCAATGGAGACTGACATTCTTTATCTTCTTTATTTTAGGGCTCAGCTAAGAATTTGCCTGCATCCTGCACTTCAAGACTCAGACCAGGGCTGGTAAGTTTGTGAATTCCAATACTTTTACCTATGTGACTTCTTTGGTGTACTAATACTTCTTCTGAATAATATGTAGTGCTTTTTCCCACAAAATGTGGTATCACAAATCAGTACGCCAATCTTCTTCGTAAATGCAGCTTATGATTCATGGCAGGTCAGATTATTCTCTTTCGAGAAAAAAAAATCATTTTAATTCTGAAATGGTGTTATGTATTGTTCCCACTTAAAACTAACACTATGTTTATATTCATTGATCAATTGGTGCCAGTTCTGTCAGTTATCTCACAAAATTCATATATGAGGATTTATACAAAACAATGTGATTAATTTTACTTAACATTCCCAGTGAAAAAAAATGATTGCTTAATTAACTCTAGTGAAAATTCGGCTGTCACAAACTGAGCCAAGGTTTTTCTACACTTGATTTTTATCTTAGAATACTATATACCACTATGAACATCTTGTTTTACAATGAGAACATTTTAATGACAGATGATTGAATTCTGAATCATATTTCCCCTCCAAGGAGGTGCTTAATAACTGATCTCATCATAAAGTTAATGTTTGCCACCACCATATTGCTATTAATAAGTGATGATATAATATTTTCTCTGATCCCTAACATATTGCTTTGATTCAGATCAAAAACATTTTGGCACCAGGTGCTGCAGATCCCCATGGCACCTGGCGTGAATGCAAGCTTGATATAAAAAAATGCTCATCAAATCAACTCAGTGTAATGCAAGGTGAACATCTTCGGATCTTAGTAACAAGTCACACTGAAATTCACTGATACCAAAACTCTAGGATTTTTTTTCTAGGCTTCTAATGAGCATCCTAAAGCTGTCTAAACTTTACCCTGCTGCTATATACACTATACTTGACATGAATCATTTGTCAAAACCAAAGCACGACCATAATCACGTGTGCCATATTCATCTTCTACCATTTCATTGATGGGTTCTAGGGCCCTAAGGGTTTTTTCACATTCCCACATTCTATAACAGCTTATGATCTCATTTGATGCATGATTTCAGTATTCAGGACTGATTTCCTGAGGGCATTTGGTGCTGTTGGGAACTCTCCATCAAAAGGGCATTTCATAGATGGTTGCTATGCTCACTGCCAAACTGGAACACAAGAGACATGGATGAGAAATGACTCTCCTGTGTTAGGCAGCACAGTAAGAAACTGCATCAAAACTTCCTTTCTAAAATATGTGTGCATCAAAATTTCTGACATATTTGCTGAACAATTTGCAGACAATTGCGAAGGCAGTTGGAGACTGGTATTATGATCGAAAGCCATTTAAGCAGATAGATTGTGCCTACCCTTGCAACCCCACTTGCCACAATCGTATTTTTGATCAGAATGAGCGTCCAGACGTATAGATTTCAAATAAGTAGTATGTGAATTATCACTACAAACTATCATATAATAGTTGTCGGTGATTCTTCTCAAGAAGATGTGTTTAATGATTTAGAAGCTTCCAATGTAAGCGTATGCACCCTGATAAAAGGATGGTAAATGTCACCATGCAACCACAAAATTCTATCATTATGGAGAGTGACTCTTTCATCTTGCTTAAACTGTTGTGGATAGCTAGGTATGAAATCCTATTCAAATTGCACATGTTATCTAAATCCTGTTTGTACTATTAAATTTTAGAGTAAATAAATATTTTTAATAAGTAAAAGTGTATTATAATTAAATATTTATATATTCCTGTTGTAAGAGCTATACCATATCGGTCTGTTATAGCAGAAAATCAGGGACGTTTGTTCCTGAGTAAAATGTTTTCGCCTCATTCCGTTTGGAATGATAAATGATGGAGTGTAGGAAGAAATTTGATAGGATGGGAAAGAAACGGCCCAAACTCAGTGAATCTTCGTCTAGTTCATTTGGGCTATTAGATCTGTAAAACAGTCAACGACAAATCAAACAAAAATTGTTTCACAATGGTT